CGAGGCTGAACTAAAATCTTTGATGGAGACACAAAAGGACCTGTCAGCGAGGTAAGATCTAAACCATTCGAGGGCTGACCCAGTGATGCCCACCCACTGCTCTAACCTCGCAATGAGGATCTCGTGGTCGATTGTATCAAAGGCAGATGTGAGGTCCAATAAGAGAAGGAGCACAGAATCACCAGCGTCTGTGAATAGGAGAATGTCGTTAAAAACCTTGAGTAGAGCAGTTTCAGTGCTGTGGAGAGGTTTAAAGCCAGACTGGAATAGCTCTAAGATGGCATTATCCTCTAGAAAGCATTTCAGCTGGGACTCCACTATTTTTTCCAGCAGTTTAGCGACAAATGGGAGTCTGGAGACAGGCCAGAAGTTGGACATGACTGAGGGGTCAAGGCTAGGTTTTTTCAGGAGAGGTTGAACAGCAGCATGTTTAAAAGTCATTCTCCATGGCCTTTCCGAACTCCTCCCATGCCCAAGATTTTGCCTCAGCAACCACCCGAGCCCCATGTCGCTTGGACTGCCGGTACCCATCAGCTGGTTCCAGGGTCCCACAGGCCAAAAAGGCTCGATAGGACTCCTTCTTCAGCCTGACAGCATCCCTCACCGACGGTGTCCATCACCGGGTTCGAGGGTTGCCACCACAACAGGCACCGACAACCTTGCGGCCGCAGCTCCAGTAAGCCGCCTCGACAATAGAGACAGGGAACATGGCCCACTCGGACTCAATGTCCCCCACCTCCCCCGGAACATGTTTGAAGTTCTCCTGGAGGTGGGAGTTAAAGCTCCGTCTCACAGGAGACTCTGCCAGACGTTCCCAGCAAAACCTCACAATACGTTTGGGTCGGCCAGGTCTGACTGGCATCCTCCCCCACCATCGGAGCCAACTCACCACCAGGTAGTGATCATGTGGCCGCAGATCAGATGAGACGACAACAAAGTCGATCATCAAATTGTGGCCTAGGGTGTCCTGGTGCCAAGAGCACATATGGACACCCTTATGCTTGAACATGGTGTTATGGACAATCCATGATGAGCACAGAAGTCCAACAACAGAACACCACTCGGGTTCAGATCAGGGGTGCCGTTCCTCCCAACCACACCCCTCCAGGTCTCACTGTCATTGCCCACGTGAGCATTGAAGTCCCCCAGCAGAACAAGGGAGTCCCCAGGAGGTGCACTTTCCAGTACCCCCTCCAAGGACTCCAAAAAGGGTGGATAATCTGAGCTGCTGTTTGGTGCATAAGCACAAACGACAGTCAGAACCCGTCCTCCCACACGTAGGCAGAGGGAGGCCACCCTCTCATTCACTGGGGTGAACCCCAACACACAGGCACCAAGATGGGGGGCAATAAGTATGCCCACTCCTGCTCGGCACCTCTCACTAGGGGGAACTCCAGAGTGAAAGAGTGTCCAATCCCTCTCAAGGAAACTGGCCATAGCCATGCATAGAGGTGAGTCTGACTATTTCTAGCCAGAACCTCTCAACCTCACACACCAGCTCAGGCTCCTTCCCCACCAGTGAGGTGACATTCCACGTTCCAATAGCCAGCTTCCATAGCCGAGGATCAGACCGCCAAGGTCCCCGCCCTCGGCCACCACCCATCCCACATTGCACCCGACCCCTTTGGCCCCTCCCACAGGTGGTGAGCCCATGGGAAGGGGGACCCACATCTCCTCTTCGAACTGTGCCCGGCCGAGCTCCATGGGTAAAAGCCTGGCCACCAGGTGCTCGCCCGTGTGCCCCACCTCCAGGCCTAGCTCCAGAGTGGGATTGGAACATCAAGTCCATTTCTTTTACTCATCTTAGGGGTGTTTAGCTTCAGATCTTTTTTCAAGATATTCCAGGAAACAGGAGCGGTGTAGGAGAAGGTCCTTTTGCCTAGTTCAGTCCTCACTGAGGTAACACTGCAGGTAATAATGTCCTGAGAGCGCACGCTGTAGCTGCACTCACACAGAGACATGTAGTAGGAGATGTATTAAGATAGCAGACCAAGAAATTATTTAAAGATGAAAATGTACCAGTGGGAGAGTCTACTTGAAGTTAATGATGTCCAGTTAACCAGTGAATACAGGGTGCAGTAGTGGGTACAGTAGTTACAACCAGTTATGAATCTTAATGCACCATGATAGACAGCATCCAACATCTGCAGGGTGCTTGTAGGAGCATTCATGTAAATAATGTCATCGTAGTCAATGGAGGGAAGGAAATTCACAGTTACAAAGTGTTTCCTAGCATTCAGAGATGGTCTCATCTGTGTGTCCAGAATCCTTCGGTCTACAGACGAGAGTTCTGAGCCCAGACCATCAGCCCTCCACCCCCGTGCCTAACAGTTGGTTTGAGGTGTTTGTGTTGATTTACTGAGACATATTATCTTTAGAGAGAAGAGAATTCCTTTTGGCAGTCTTCCAAACATACTTTTCGTTTTTCTATAGTTGTCCCGTCATGAACTTAACGTGCCGAGGCCCGCAGAGCCGAAGTTTGAGCTGTTAGGTTTTCTGCTGTTAATCGTTTTCTCACTGGAGATTTAAAAACTTCAACTAGTTTAGAAAAGACCTTTGACCCTGCCCAGATTAATGGGCAGCAACAGCTGCTTCTCTAAGTGGATGGCTTTCCATCCTGGCATTGGGTTAACATGCACAAACTGATGAAACTGTTTTTATAGAGGCATTCACATTAATGATGATCAGGTAATCAATGCAATTGATTAGCAAATTCATTTTGAATAATTTCCTTCTTTTTGTCTTTGTTGGCTTCTAGAATAAAATGCCATCACTTGCAGCAATCATCTCTTCACCGCATGTTTTATTAGTTAGAATATCAATTCTAGGAGAAGCGTCATTTCCAGTGAAACTGCAGCAAACCCTTACAGCTGAAGGATTTCTGCTGAAAGCTGCTGAAAAGTGTCATCGCTAAACTGTTAATGTGAGCTGAATCTGAACAGCTGACGTTTGCTGAAAGCAAGAAAACAAAAACAGGAACCAGAAGAAAAAGAGCAGAAATGTAGCTGAAATAGACAAAGGCTGAATAGATTACAAAACATGTGAAATTAGCAACAAAATAATAATCATGATAATAAACCTATAATGAACAGAAGTAGCTGAAAGGAGAATAAAAAGTTGAAATTGGTCAAAATTAGAGATCACCTCACGTGCACCACATTATAACAGCGCTAAAGGGAGCTATGCTTCAACTAGTTCTTGTTTTGTTCCTGTTGCTTTTGTTCTGACTTTATTGCACCTACACTGTACACCCAAGCTACGGGTATGACCACGACACACTTTTAGAGCTTTGTGTGTCGCTGCCTTGCCATCGTGCCATCGTGGTTCAGTTTCTGGCCCACTTCCCGCCTCAGGCTCAGGCTCCAGCCTGTCATGGCAGCCGTCCACATGATCCTGCATCTGGCTGCATGGACCGAACTCTGCGGAACAGTTTGATTCCGTGGGAAACTTTGAATGTTCTATGTCTGCTGGACCCGGGTATGGATGACAGTCATTGTCCGTTGCCGGGGTTATTATTATCATCATGATGTTAACGGGACCACACTGCTAACAGGACCACACTGATAATAGGACCATGCTGCTAATAGGACCATGCTGCTAACAGGACTACGCTGCTAACAGGACCAC